GCTAGAGCCAAATACCAGACTTTGAAATGGCTGCCACCCGATCGGAGGCTCCTTGCTGCTTTTGGATGCAAGAGGCTGAGGTTGGGGGCAGAGCCGGAGACCCAAGGAGTGGCTGGGTTCTGTTGGCAGAAAAGGATTCCTTGTTCAGAGGGAAAGCTGGCAGCCTCTAACACGTGTCAGGAGGAGACACATAGCTGGGGGGCTTCTAGGGTAGGTGTGTTCACGTTCCATCTCCCCCACACTTCTGCTGCAAATCACCCCAAGACTTCCACTGTTCTATTTTTTTTAAGGCAAAAAAAGGTAGTCACAATCGCCAATAACTTTTCCTGATTAGATTTAGGCTGGTGGACTGGCTCAAGTGGTAGAGTACCTGCCTAGCAAGCATGAGGCCCTGAATTTAAACCCCAGTGCTGCCAAAAACAAGAAAGGTTTTCTGTTTAGAAAAAGAAATGGTTGCAGAAAATTATGGAAATTCAGAAAGTAAAAAAAAACAAAGAATAAAGGTCATCCGTAATTCCACTATTGAGAAACAACTATTGTTAAACACTGAATGTTTCCCATTTTCTTTCTTTTAAACAATTTATTCATGGGTGAAATGATATAGTACATGCAATGTTGGAATTTTTTTTATTTAGCTTTTGGTTGTGCTTTTATCAGTTATATAAACATCTTCCCATGCTTTATCGACTTTGTATGAACCTCATTCTCAGTGAATGCATGAATTCTTAATCACTCCCCTGTTATTAAATACTGAGGCTGTTGAATTTTTAGGTGCATTAAGCTTATTTTTCCTGCTATGTTTAATTATTTCCTTTTGATAGTTACCCAAAAGTGCAATTACCACATCAGTCAGAACACTTTTAAGGCTTAGTCTAAGGTTTTTCAGAAAAGTGGTTACCAAAGTACACTTTCCATAAATGACAGTGCCTGTCTAACTTCATCCTCACCAGCACTGACAGTTACTTTTTCTGTTGTTGTTTTGCTAATACTGCAGATGGAAAAGGTGTTTTATTCATTTAACTGCTACTTGTATTTAATTGTTTTCATATATTTATTAGATGCTTATGTTTTGACATAGAATTGTCCTTTATTCATTCACGAGGGGTTTAGTGCTTTTATTACAAATTTGAGTACACAATATATGAATATCACCACTCTGTCACATTTTTGCAGATATCTTCCCTGGCTGATCAGTTAGCTGTAGGTGTGTTTATAATACTATGATCCATTTCTCTGTTGTTTTAGATAAGATAGAAGCCCTTCTCCATCCAAAAATTTGATAAAGGGCTGCGGCTGTAGCTCAAGTGGCAGAGCACCTGCCTGGCAAGCAGGAGGCCATGAGTTCAAACCCCAGTGCCAAAAAAAATACAGAAATTTGATAAATACTCAGTTTCATTTTCTTCCAGTTTTTATGGTTTGTTTTTTTAATTTATCTCTTGAGTCCATCAGGAATTCATTTTAGAGCCCAGTATAAAATGAGGCTGTATGTAAATTATTTTCCTCTCAATATTAGACGGCCATCCCTGCAATGTTGCTTGAGTGAATGATGTTTCCTTTACCAGTGGTTTATAGTCTTCTCAGGATCATGTGATAAACACTGATGGATGCCAGATTTGTTTCTGGGCTGTCTGTCTGATCTAGCTCTCCATGCTCTGTCTGTCCCACAGCCTCTTTCTTTGAGAGAGGGTCTTGCTATATAGCCAAGGCTGGCTTTGAACTCACGATCCTCCTGCCTCCGCCTCCCAAGTGCTGGGATTGCAGATGTGCCAACCACACCCGGCTCCACAACCTCTTAATCATTAATGCTTTCGAATAGGTTAAAAGCAATAAAAATTCTTTTCAATTTTGTTTTGTTTTGATTTGATTTCCCCCTAGTTATTCTTTTCAAATTCCTCTTAGGGTCACTTTTTCAAGTCTCCACTACCTTTCCTCCTCCAAAAAGCTTATGGTAGAATATGGAGTACAAACTGGTATTAAAAGAATTCAGAGAGAGCTTCCATCTTTAGTCATTGTTTTTTCTTTTTGGTGGGATCAGGATTTGAACTCAGGACTTATTCTTCTTAGGCAGGCACTCTACCACTTGAGCCACTCCACCAGCCCTAGCTTCCATCTTTAGAACGCTTCATTACAAATAGGAATATCATATGTGTGTCTTCACTTGTGCAAGATAGACTCTTAACTCTTTTAGCTTAGTTTCACAACTTCATAGAAATCTTGCATATTTCCTACTAATGTCTCTTCCCTATGTGTATTGCTTTCATAAATGAGTTTTTGTGCATTAAAATGCTTCACTGGTAAATGTCATAAAAGAAAGCTTTTTTGTATATTAAATTTGCATCTAAAGACTCATTAATTGGTTACTAAACTCTGGTTAATTGTAACCTTTACTAGAAGACTCATTTGGGTTTTTCATTCATATCATCTAAAAACTTTACCTCCTCCCTTCCAAGGGTCATGGGCACCACTGCTGGTTTGTGTCAGACCTAGTGTTGTAATATTATCGCCTTTACAGGTTCCCCGAGAGTCGGTCATCCTGCCTTCCTGGGATAAAGATCTACTTGGTTATAGTGGATCTGTTTGCTTGTTTCGCTTAGGACTTGCCACTGCTTCACGCGGGAGAGATCAGCCTGTGTACTTCCTTGTTTGGAATTTACTATCATTATGAGATTTGGGTTATAGGGAACTGCTAGAAAAGCTTATCTTTTCCTATGTTCCGGGTTGGTTTCTCAAGGAGAGCAATTATCTTTTTTTTTTTTTTTTTTGGAAAGCTTGAAATGAACTTAACTTATAAAAGTCGTAAGTTTCCAGACGTCCTCATAAAGGTTAATTCTTTTATAGCTTGTCACTTTTTTTTTTTGACTATCATTTCAGTTTATGGATTTTTCATCTATTCTAGGTTTTTATTTATTTTTATCAGTATTTGGTATTTTCTGAAGAATTACTTCATTTTTTTTCAAAATCATCAGCATAGTCGTAATTTTTTATCTTTTCCGCATCCATTTTCCTTTCTCATTGTATATTTATTCTTCTTATTTGATTTTGTGCATAACTTCCTTTCTCTATTTTCTAACTAGTTTCTAGCTTTATCTGAATTACGTCCTTTCCTATAGTTAGTTGTTGATGGTTGTCTAATTTTTTTGTGGTACTGGGATTTGAACTCAGGGCCTCATTCTTGCTGCGCAGGTGCTCTACCACTTGAGCACGCCACCTTTGTCATTGGTTATTTTGAGACAGGGTCTCGCGCTATGCCAGGCCAGCCTACACGATGATCCTCCTATTAGTGACTCCTGGAGTGGCTGGGATGACAGGCGTGTACCACCAAGCTCAGTGATTGGTTGAGATGGGATCTCGAGAACTTTTTGCCTGGGCTTTGGCCTAGAACCACAGTCTTCCCCGTCTCTGTCTCCTGAGTAGCTGGGATTACAAGCTTGAGCCACGATACCTGAATCTAATTTTTTTTGAGTTGAACATTTGGAGTAACAGCATCTGATGGTGTAATCACAACTGTTATCATGTTTGTTCCAACTTAGACTTATTAATTAAATTCCTGAAATTAAGTAATTAATTTTTGTCCATTTAATCAATAATAGAATGCTAATGGTTTAATTTCCCAATACAATTAATTCTTGCTTTCTATTTTTTCTTAGGTCTCAGTAGCTTTTTTTTTTTTTGAGGTAAGGTCATGCATGTAGTCCAGGTTGGCCTCAAACTCAAAATTCTCCACCTCCTTAGTGCTGGGATTACAGGTGTGTGCCACTATGTCTTATTTTCCAATAGCTTTTGATATATTTTCAGTTTATGATATTCAGTATATAACATTTTTATGGTATCTATTTGTTATGGGCAGCATTTTACCTGTACAAATAATCTTATTACTTTGTTTAATGGCTACCTTTTAAAATACTTTTATTTTACTGATGCTTTAATTTTTTTCATTTGCCCAGTTTTGTTTTTACCCGTCCATTTATTTTATATAACCTGCTTTTGATTCTGCAAGCGGTTACTAGTGTATAATTTTAACATTTTTTAAAAGCATACTTTAATTTATATTCCTCTGTCAAACTTAGGAAAGAAGCAATAACCTGTGAATCCATATGATCTAAATTAAGAAATGGTATTGCTTTATAATTTTCTGCCCCCTTCCCACAAAGTCACCAGTCTTAATAATTTCATCTTGGATTAAGTCAGCACTATTATGAAATTATCGTTGATCTCAGCCAGGCATTGTCCATCTGTAGATCCAGTCCTCAGGAGGCTGAAGCGGTTAAACTCACAAGAGTTACAGACCAGCCTGGGCAACGCAGTGACACTCCATCTAAAATAATAAGTAAATAAATTTTTTAAATGAAAACTAAGTATTTTCTTTGGCAAGGATTATTTCTGACTTTTGATTCAACTCCATCTCTCATATCATAGCTAAGAGTGAGCGCGTCTTACCCTAGGCCCTGGGGTAATGCCTGGCACTCAGCGCTGTAGTGGTCTTAAGAATGGAGGAAGGAGAGGATGAATGCTTCGAATTCCCCTACTACGCTCTGAGCCTCTCACAGGCAGGGGCTGTACTCAGGTTTCCAGCCCAGGGCAGGGACTACGTTGGGCCTTGGTGGCTAATTGGTGACCCTGTGCCGGCAGGCAGTGTTCCGGTTACTCCCTGATGGCGAGGGCTGTGATCTGGAGGTTAGTCAAGGTTGTGCAGTGGAGAGATGATGAGTGTGGGAAGGGTGTCATTGCCTTCTGTTCTAGCCCCCTCCCCCCTCAGTATTCAGGTCATCAAGGCCAGACTGAAGGGCCTCTGTGAAGGAGAGTAGTGACCTGCAGCAGGGTAACCTGAAGAAGATGGGGGGCGAGGAGGAGGAACAGGCAGGGTGACAATGAGTCCCTCCATCCTCATCGAAGCCAGGGGTTTTGCCAGGCCCTGGGCAATAGGCGCTCTGGCACAGTGGGAAGTGCCCGGCGCCCTCTCCGAGCCCTGCAAGGCTGACACAGTGTCTTGTGCCCCGCAGAAGGACTTCACCGTGCGCGAGGAGCTGCAGCAGCAGGACGTGGAGCGCTGGCTGGGCTTCATCACCTTCCTGTGCGAGGTGTTCGGCACCATGCGCAGCAGCACGGGCGAGCCCTTCCGTGTGCTCGTGTGCCCCATCTACACGTGCCTCAGGGAGGTAAGAGACATGGCCACGCCCCCAGGCCGGCCACGCCCCCCGGCCAGGGCAAGCCACGCCCCCGGCCGGAACTGAAACTCAGAAAAATACGTGAAAGCTAAGGTCGAATAGCTTATAAAGGAGTGGTTCTTTTGGTAAATCTCAATGGTTCTGCTTCAGGCTTTTATTTATTCAGTTTACCTAAAGAGAAACTAGTCTTTTTTATTTATTATTTATTTATTTATTTTGCTGTTCTGGGGTTTGAACTCAGGGTCTATACCATGAGCCACTCCACCAGCCCTTTTTTGTGATGGGTTTTTTCAAGATAGGGTCTCGCAAACTATTTGTCTGGGGCTGGCTTCAAACCACAGTCCTCCTGATCTCTGCCTCGTGAGTAGCTGGGATAACAGGCACGAGCCACCTGCGCCCAGCTAAGAGAAACTATTTTTAATTCAGACTTGGGTGATTCCTAATCCAGAACACTGGCTACAGAGAGGAGGCCTAGGGTGTTCTTTCTTTCTTTAATATCAAAGTCCTGAAATTGTATGCATTCTTTGAACCTGAATTTAGGGTGTTATTACAATGAATGGATCTTGAGGTTGGATTGTTTTACCATTGAATTGTTTTGCTTCCTAATTTCATCTGAAAAAGGAGTAAATAAGAGTAGCCAAGAAACTTTTGAGAGACAAGAACTCTGGGGGCACTTGCCCTACCAGCTCTTAAAACATGCTTTGTAGGTCATGCTGACTGTTTTGGGGGGCAGGGGGTACAGAACTGATAGGGAAGCTGGGGGCCAGTTGGGAGCTGTGGGCATCGTCCAGGGCGAGGTTGGTGGCTGGGACTACAGCTGTGAGTGTGAGGGTGTTGGTGCTAGTTGTATTTTTGAGTTAGAGCCAACAGCAGGGTTGATGAGGAATGGAGGGGAGGAAGAAGAGGTAGGACTCCTGTTTATGAGCCTGGTTTATGAGCAACATTTTCTGGGATGGTGAATGGTTGAACAGAAACAGTATGGGGATGAGAGCCAGAAGTAGGAATCAGGATGTTATATTTGTGTCACCTGTTGACTATCCTCAGGGATCGGCTCGGAGGATGGTGAGCAGAAGGGTCTGAGGCTCCCTAAGAGGTCACAAGGAGGTCCCTAAGAGGTTACAAGGACACTTTTGTGCAGTGTCCTTGTAAACTTGGTGCTAGAGGCTGGGGACAGATGGCATTACCCAGGAAGAGGGAATTGATGGGAGCAGAAGAGAAGAGGCCAGGGAGGGAGGGGGGAGACAAAACAAAAAGGGGAAGTGTAAAGAAGGCTCCAGAAGACTCAGTGAGTACTTTTGCAGCTGTCCTTCAGTAGCGTGCGAGCCCCACACTCCACCTGGACTGTCCTGTTCCATCTGGCCCCTCTGCCATCACCAGGACATGGAAAGGGACAGCCTCTGGAGAGCCAGATGACTTTGTTCGGTCAACAAGGTGGTCCAGCATGGGGCTTAGTGGAAAGAGGATGGAAGGGTGGGCAGGTCCTTTGGGAAGGATGGCAGGGAAAGGGAATTGATTAACTGGAGGGGAAGAGAGGAGTCAAGGGAGTCTGTGGTTTTGAGTAGAATAATTTAAGCAAAGTGAGGGTTGTGTTTGTGTTTGGAAAACATCTGTGTATAGGACAATAACTGTTCATCCCACCCGAAAGCAGAGCACACAAGCCCCTGGGTGTGCACCTGAATGCACTTGAGTTTAGAGTTGCTCCACAGATGCAGCCCACCACCTCTCCTGACTTGATTTCCCTCTCAGGGACCTTGGCTCAGTGTGCAGCAGCAGGAGGGCCAGCAGCTTTGCCTTTTACATCCCTTCTGGAATGCAGAGGCAGAGAACTACCTGGTGGCCTCTGGGGTCTGCCCACCCTTGCCTGAATTGCCTTGTACCCCAACAAGCCACCTCAAGACAAGGAGAAGTGCTGTTCTAGGGCAGTGACCTGAATTGCCTCAGCAAGTTCCTTCTGCATGACCTGGACCCCTCCTGGTGTTGTCATCACCTGCTCCCCCAGTGGGAAGCAGGGTCATAGCTGACACTGGCCCTGGCTGCTGGGATGCTTTTCACACCACCTGAGGTGGTGCAAACCTTCTGGTGTGAGATCCGGAGGTGCCAAGAGGCCTGTGCACACCTGTTTGATGCATTAAGCTTTTGGGGACAGTTTGACAAACACAGACTCACACCATGCTCATGGTGATCTTAAAGAATAAATAAAATATCTGTGCCTTTCACCATGGAGCAGTATCCATGGGGCCAGACTACCACCTAGATTTACTACCTGGCTCTGCTGTCTTTTAGCTGTGCTGTCTTGGGGGAGAGTTTGCCTGCCCTGAACACATGCAGGCATGTGGCATTTTCTCTGCAAGGGCTTAGGAGGGTGGCAGGGCATGAAGAGTAAGCTAAATGCACAAGGGCAAGCAGGATGAAGTGTGAAAGTACCCAGAGGACTCATTCTAGGGCACTGCAGCTCTCAGAGAGCTGAGTGTCTCCAGGCTGATGGAGTTTAAGGGTGTGGGCAGGGTGCCCAGTCCAGGGACACCCAGCTGGTCCATGCCAGGGCTGGTCTGGAGCTCATGAGCCTCCATGAAGGCCTCTTTCCAGGAGCAAACTTGGCTTCCTCAAAGTGGGCCTTAAGAAAAGATGAAGACCTAAAGAGGTGCCCTAGGGACCTCGTTAACTCCTTTGTAGAACAGCTGCTTTGGAGGAGTCTTAGAGTCAGTTGCCCTCCCCTGCCTTATCACATATACCTAGGCCTGAACCTTGGCCCCAAAGTAGCTTGAGCCAGCTCAGGAAATTTCTAGAGACAAAGGCACTGCTGCTGCTTACCCCATACTGGGAAAGTGCAAGTTTTTTCCCTGGGGCCATGCAGATGGCTGACCCAAAATCAGTAGCATCCACCCTGCCTACTTAGTCATACTAGTCAGACTTCTCATCCCTGTGACAAATATCTGAGAGAAACAACTTAAAAGAAGAAAAATTTATTTTGGCTTAGGTTCTTCCTGGTCACAGAGGTCTCTGTCATCCCCTGGACTTACCAGCCCAGAGAACACCAGCTCTCAGAGCCACCCAGGCCAGGACAAGTCCTCTGTGCCCTCCCTGCCCCACTCTGACCTGGTGCAGTTAACCACACTCTCCATTATCCACATTTGAAACCTTGGAGTTATCTCTGTGTCTGTCTCCTTCCATGGCCCAGTCCAAGTCAACGTCTTCTGTGATGCTCTCTTGGTCCTGATCTGCAGCCTAGCACCCAGACAGCTCTCTCCTGAGGGAGCAGTGTCCTCTGTCCTTCCCGCACCATCCTTGCTGTGTCTTTCCCATGTCGATTGATAATACTATTTAGTAATGATAACAGCACATCTCAGCTCATGCAAGGCACAATGCAAAGCACTTTAGGCATTCTTTTCTCTTTTAACTTGTGCAACACCCTACAGATCATCATCCCCATTTTCCACAGGAAACAGAGAAGTCAGGCAGCTTGCTTAGGGCCACACAGTCATCAGGTGGCAGAGTCAATGTTGGAATCTCTGAGCACTGAGACCCACTTCACTTCAGAGCATGGGCTACTCTGTTCATATTTTCAGTTCCCAGTCCAGCACCTGCTACAGTAGGTACTGATGGAATTGATTCTGATTTTACCATAAATGTACTAATCAGGCTCCTTCTTGAAGGATAATTTTCAATGACCCCTGTTATTGTTTAAGAACAAATCATTTCTGCCAAGATGGCTTTCAAAGTGGCCATCTGGATTCTTCAATGGATTGAAGAATTCCATTGGTCAGCTAAAACTGTGTACCTCCCTGCTCTCCTATTTACACCTTGTATTTGCTTAGCAAGCTCTTTTTCATTTTAAAATTTGGTAATAATACTTAACGGAAGATCTACCCTCTTAATAGGTTCTTAAGTATAAATATGGTATCATCTACAGGCACAGCATTGAGCAGCAAGTCTAAAGAACCTACTGGCTTGTTTAGCTGAAATTTTGTGCCACTGGGTAGCAACGCCTCAGCCTCTGGAAACCACTCTTCTATTCTCTGCCTCAGTGATTTTAACTATTTTAGAATCCTGATGTATTCATCTGATTTCTGTTGCTGTAACATAATACCCAAGTTGGTGGGACTGGGTTTTGAACTCAGGGCTTTGCATTTGCAAAGCAGGTGCTCTACCAATTGAGTCACATCTCCAATTCAGAGGCTGGGTATTTTATAAACAAAAGAGGCTTATGTAGCTCACAGTTTTAGAGGCTGGAAAGTCCAAACCAGGGCTTCCCTGGTTGCCTGGTTGTGTCACATAATGGCAGATGTCACCATGATGGGGGGAGCGGGGTAGGAGAGAGAGAGAACATGGTGAGACAGGAAACCAAAGACAACTCACTTTCTTGGGAACTCATCCCACAAAACCAGCATTAATTCTTTAGGTCATCCCTCAGTGACCTAATTACCTCTCACTAGGTCCTACCTCTGCAAGGTTCCATTCTACCTCCCAACACTGTCACACTGGGGACCAAACTTCTAACACACAAACTCTTAGGGAACAAGTCACCTCCAGATCAATGCACCTGATGTAAGTGGGATCACGTGCTATTCGTCCTCCTGTGACTGGCTTAGTTCACTTAGCAGAATGTCCTCCAGGTTCCTCAATGTTGTCAGGTACTTTGGGATTTCCTCCTTTTTGAAGGCTGAATAATATTCTGTTGTGCCTACAGACTGCCTTTTCTTTACCCATTCATCCACTGGTGGGCATCTTGGCTATTGTGAATAGTACGTCTATGAACATAGGAGTGCATTAAGATTTTGGTTCTTTTGATTAAATACCCAAAAGTGCAATTGCTGGACCACGTGGTATTCTATCTTTAATTTGCCGAGGATCTTCTAAACTGTTTTTCTCAGTGGCTACATTGTTTTACATTCCAACAGCATGCATGAGTCACAGCTTCTCCACATCCTCACCAACAATTGCCATCTTTTGTTGTTTGAGCATAACTATCCTAACAGTATGAAGTGATATCT